TATTCCTTTTGTTGAGCACTTACATTTTTTTCTAATTCTTCACTATGCTAAAAAGTGCTGTTATTAATATTTGAGTGTTTGTGGACATAGCATTAAATCTTATCTTGGTGAAGGCATTTCTATATAGAGGGCTGAGCTAATATGGTCTGATTTGTATCAATTTCTGATTAGCTTAATAATATGATAGAGCTTTGGAGATCTAGATTTAAGATAGTTAACCTGTTAATTATGTCATCTTTCTCAAATGGCAGACTTCTTAAATGAGCTTTTCTCAAGTGCTGGGGTGCATTCAATCTCATGCTTCCATTTTCTGATGAGGGCCTGAAGCAGCTTTATTTTGTGCTGTCAATTAAAGATGGATCCCTTTAGGACTACCAGACAGGGTGGGAAGGGACCATCTATCTGAGCCCTTGATTTTGTAGGTAAAGAAAGTCAACCCAGAGGTGATAAAGTCTCACAGACACTAAATAACAGAGCCAGGATGAAGACCCAGGTCTTCTGACACCAGATACAGGGCTTACCAGGCAGGGCTATTCAGCCCACGATCAGTGTCTCAAGCCAGCGAAACAATGGTTTTCTCTCTCTCTCTCTCTCTCTCTCTCTCTCTCTCTCTCTCTCTCTCTCTCACACACACACACACACACACACACACACACACACACACACACACACACACACACACACACATACACACACCTGATATGTGAGAGAAGAGATTTGACCCAGGTTTTCTTGGTTCTAAGAGCAGCTCTCGTAGGTGGTCTACACTTCACAGTAGCATCTTTGCATATTCTGAAAATAGGAGAAGCAAGAGAAGTTGTATGTACTTTTATAGGAATTTTCACTTAAGGACTCATATTTGACTTTGCCATATTCCTCCCGATAAGCATTATCTTTAGGTTTGTTAGAGGTTTTTTAGTCCAATCAAATGCTTGAAGGAAAGAAACTGAAAATACACTTACCTATATCTGTATGGATATACATCTGTATGTGTGTATGTATATATGTATATGCATATATACATACACATATATATAATATGTATACTTACATGAATATATACATACTTATTTCTATTTTTAGTAATTTATTCTAATTTTCAAAAATCATTTCCATAAGCTTTTGAATTTTTAATTTTTCTCCCCCTCTCTCCCCAAGACAGCACTCAATCTGATATAGGCTCTACATATACATTCCTATTAAATATATTTTCACATTAGTGATGTTGTAAGTAAGAATTAGAACCAATAGGAGGAACCGCCAGAAAGAGGAAACAAAACAAAACAGAAGAAAAAAGGAGAAAATAGTATGCTTCAATCTGCATTCAAACTCCGTAGTTCTTTCTCTGGATGTGGATAGCATTTTCCATCATGAGACTTTTGGAGATGTCTTAGATCCTTAGGGCTAAATCTATCGACGTTAGTCATCACACAACATGGCTGTTACTGTGTACAGTGTTCTCCTGGTTCTGCTCACTTCACTCAGCATCAGTCCATATAAATTTTTCTGAAGTCTGCTTGTCCGTCATTTCTTATAGCACAGTAGTATTCCATTACATTCATATACCACAGCTTGTTCAACCATTCCCCAATTGATGGGCATCCCCTCAATTGCCAATTCTTGGTCACCACAAAAAGAGCTGCTATAAATGTTTTTGTACATGTGGGTTCTTTTCCCATTTGTATGATCTCTTTGGGACACAGCCCTAGAACTTACACGCTTATTTCCATACACATATATACATACATGAATCTCTAAAATGTATATGAGAATTGTTTCAAATAAAATATTAGTGAACGAACAAGAAGAGTAAGCATAGTAATCAGTAAAATTAGCATTTTCCTTGGGAGGGAAAAAACAAGGAGGTAAATAGATAATCCTCCAATCTCTGCTTACTATAGCACTAGAAATTAGAGACTAGGGCAGGGGTGGGGAACCTGCAGCTTTGAGGACACATGTGGCTTTCTAGGTCCTCAGGTGTGGCTCTTCAGCTAAATCCAAACTTCACAGAACAAATCCCCTTAAGAAAAGCATTTGTTCTGTGAAGTTTGGATTCCATCAAAGGGCCACACTTGAGGGCCTGAGGACCACATGTGGCTCTGAGGCCACAGATTCCTCAGGCTAGACTAAGGAGAAGAATAAAAAAAAATTCCCTTACATTATTTGTAAAAAAAAAAAAATTGAGTGATATAATAGGTGCTTTTTCAGTGATTATATCAAAATCAATGTGTATGTATTTGTCATTTCTTCCCCCATTCTGGCTGTCACTCTCTCCTTTGCAATTCCTCAGCTTTTCTCCACTGGTAACTGGTTAAAAGAACATAACATTGAAGGGATACATCATGTAATCTTTCTCCATCATGGAAGATAAAAACATGGATCTTTAAAAACATCAGTAATTATATGAAGAGAAGAAATCTTCCTACATCCTATGTTGATAAATGCAATAGGAAGGATTTTAATTTATGATTTCATTACTCTGAGCTATAATTGGTTAATCTTGTTTTGTTGGTGATTTTTTTTATTTCTTTCATAAAAAGCAGTTGTTTATATGAATGTTCTTCAGTTTAATGAGTTTGGGATGAATACTAAGTTTTAAGAGTTCATGAATAATTAATTAGCATCTTGTTATTGGATACAACATTTTCCAATCGCTTTTTATGGTAGAATTTTCAAAGTGAGCTTGGACTTAGTGGGTGCTTATGACACATATTGTCATTTGTTTTATGTTTTCAACCTAGAAATTTTTATTTTTAATAGACATTTTTCAAATGATTTAATTACATCTCTTAATAGCCATTTGTCTTGATTATGATTAAAACCTTTTTAATAAAAAACATTCTGATTCTTTTTGTTTTGTTTTGTTTTGGTGAGGCAATTGGGGTTAAGTGATTTGCCCAGAGTCATACAGCTAGTGAATATTATGTGTCTGAAGCTGGATTTGAACTCAGGACCTCCTGACTCCAGGGCTGGAGCTCTATCAACTGTGCCACCTAGCTGCCCCGACAATCTGATATTTGTATTACAATCTCCATTCTTCATTATTATTATTATTGTTGTTGTTGTTGTTGTTGTTGTTGTTGTTGTTGTTTGCTGATGCTGCTTTTTGGTGAGCCAATCAGGGTTAAGTGACTTGCCCAGAGTCACACAGCTAGTGAGTGTTATGTGTCTGAGGCTAGATTTGAACTAGATCCTCCTGACTCCGTACCGGTGCTGTATCGACTGTGCCACCTAAATGCCTCAACATTCTGATATTTGTATTACAATTTCCACACTTTCTTCTTCATCTTCTTCTTCTTCTTCCTCTTCCTCTTCTTCTTCTTCTTCTTCTTCTTCCTCTTCTTCTTCTTCCTCTTCTTCTTCTTCTTCCTCTTCTTCTCTTCTCCTCTTCCTCTTCTTCTTGCTTTTTGATGAGGCAACCAGGGTTAAGTGACTTGCCCAAGGTCACACAGCTAGTAAGTGTTAAATGTCTGAATCTGGATTTGAACTCAGGTCCTCCTGACTCCAAGGCCAGAGCTCTATCCACTGAACCACCTAGCTGACCCCATTCTTTATTATTTCATTGTATTGCCAGCATGCTACCAAGTGGTAGTGAGACCAGCCACTTAAAAAAAAAAATAAGGTAGCTGGGTCAGTTACCCTTTGTGAGCTGCCTATATAGCTTTGATTCTCATCTTTGAGGCATCTTAGTACAAAGCCTCTAGTTTATTCAAGAACTTAGGGAGGAGCGTTAAATGACTGAGGTCTATAGGTGTCATATTCATGAATGGAGGAGAAGGATGAATGAATGAGAAGGCATTTATTGACTGTTTACTTTATGTAAATATTAATTACATAAATAAATTAAAGGAAAACTATGAAAATAAATAAAATGACTATCTTAAATTTTGTGTATCAATTGCTACATAGATACATGTAAAAGATAAAAGTCCATTGAAATGGTTTCATCTAGAAAAGAGAAACCTGAAATGAAATGAAATGTTGCTCTTTACATATTATTGCACAGCACATTGTGATTTTCTTAAGCCGTTATGGGATCATAAGATAAGCGATAAAGAATACAATGTCTTTTGGAAGAATTCTAGTCCAGCTGTCTCATCATTTTCTATTTTGTATCATGACTGATGAACCACTAAGCCCCTTGAGGACAGGGATCATACCTCTGTGTGTGTGTATGCATATGTATGTGTGTGTATGTTCCTAGCATTACAGGATTTAAAAAAAAATGTTTTTTGAATTAAATTAATTTTGTATAAAAAGGTAGTGTGTACGGGGGGGAACATAGGAGTACAATTAAATTCCACAAAACAACAGAATAAGAAAAAGAGGTGGGTCTTTTTCTCTGGACAAGTGATTAAAGTTGGAGATGTGGAATAAGAATTATAAGGTATAGCAAAGGAAGGGAATACATATTCATATAGTGTCTACCGTGTACCAGGTTACTGTTTTTTTTTTTAATTTTGTTTTTATGGTTGTTTGTTTTAGTTTTTGTTTTGCAAATATCTTATTGGCTTTTCTCAACAACCCTGGCAGGTAGGGTTATTATCCTCATTTTATAATTGAAGAAACGGAGGTAAACAGAAGTTAGGTGATTTATGCAGAGTCATACAGCTAGTAAATGTCTGAGGCCATATTTAAGCTTTGGTCATCTTGACTCCAGGCCAAGGATTCTATGCACTGTGCCACCATCTTCTTTCTCTAGTATGGGCTCATCAAAAGGAGAGATAGTACCAGCATGACTTATAAGAAGTTTTTCCACCCATGCAATGATGAAAATGATGTACATTAACTGGGGTTATGAGTACAGGTAATGATTATACTCTCTCCCTGCAGGGGCTGGAGTAGTATGGCTACTGTGATGGAATTTACTTAATTTTGGTCACTGCAGCAAATAATTGAGAATATTTTTTGTATAAGTTATTCAGAGTTTCCAAAGGATACTATAATAAGTAGCCAATATTTTAAATACTAGATGATGACTGGGATTTGTCTTTTCACAGAAAACATAAAGAACCTGCTGATGCTATATGAAGAAGAAGCTGAGGAATGGGCTGTGTACCTGAGAGACGTCCTCCTCCATGTTGTAGAGATGGAGGCGATGCTATTGTATAGCTTGGCCAACTCCTCTGACCGGCATTTGGACTTGCTGGGCTTAAACTCTTACAAATGCAAACTACTGATATTATCACATAGCCTCCTGAAAGGTCTGACCCCTAGGAAATGCCGCTTTTTGGACAGGCTGCTCCATTCCCCAGAGAGTGTGGTCATCCTACTCTGTGGAGTAAATAGCTCAGATGAGCTTTATGAATTATTAACCATCTCCCGAGGCAGCCAGGAGATCTCTACTGAGCAGGAGCCAGAAGAATACATCTCAGTGATCAGGAGCGTCATAGAAAGAGGTACTATTTATCTAGTCTATTTAATCTTAAATTTAGTTCTGTTTCTTTTAGCCAAAGAATAAATTATAATGTTAGGTCAAAAAAGAAAAAGAGAAGGAAAACCACATTATTAAATGGTATGGTACCGTTCCTTTCTATGTAATCAAAGCAGATCTCTTGTATCCATTCCAGCCAACCCTTGCCACTAAGTTTAAAAAACAAATGGCTGTCTTATTTGATAGCCCTATAAATGATAAATACCTTTGAGAATTGGGGAAGAGGGTTCCCTCCATTAGCTGACCTGTTCTGACTCATTTATTGCCTGTACCAAGGATGGAGATGACCAGTACCAGTGCCATGAGAGTGCAATTGGAGTCAGAGCTGCCATAGGCAGAAATGCTGATAATGGCTTAATAATTATAATCTTTTAAAAAAAAATTAATTATACCTTTTGGTTTCATATCACCTTTATTGCCAAATACCATTCTCCACTCCCACTTCCCAGTCACAGATCCTTCCAGTGATACAGTAGGTACCTTGAGGTAACAGGGAGCCCTGGGCTTTATCATGTGGAAAAATAGCATAGCCAGACCAATATTTTATTTTTTCATTTTTTTTAAATTTTATTAATTTATTTTGATTTATCAACAATCACTTCCATATGCTTTTGAGTTGAAAATTTTTCTCTCCCTTCCTCCCCCCCATCCTCCCCAAGACAGTGCACAATCTGATACAGGCTTTACATTTACATACCCATTAAACATATTTTCACGTTAGTGAAGTTGTAAGTGAAAATTAAGAACAATAGGAAGAACCATCAGAAAGATGAAACAAAACTCAACAGAAGGTAAAAATAAGTGATAGCGATTCAACTTCCATAGTTCTTTCTTTGTATGTGGACAGCATTTTCCATCCTGAGGCGTCTGGAGATGTCTTAGATCCTTGTAATGCTGAGAAGGGTTCAGTTTAACATTCTTAGTCATTGCATAATGTGGCTGTTATTGTGTACAAAGTCCTCTTGGTTCTGCTCACTTCACTCAGCATCAGACCATATAAGTCTTTCCAGGTTTTTCTGAAGTCAGCCTGTTCATCATTTCTTATAGCACAATAGTATTCCATTACATTCATATACCACAACTTGCTCAGCCATTCCCCAATTGATGGGCATCCTCTCAATTTCCAATTCTTTGCCACCACAAAAAGAGCTGCTATGAATATTTTTGTACATGTGGGTCCTTTTCCCATTTGTTGATCTTTTGGGATATAGCTCTAGAAGTGCTATTGCTGGATCAAAGGGTATGCACATTTTTGTAGCCCTTTGGGCATAGTTCCAAATTGTTCTCCAAAATGGTTGGATCATTTCACAACTCCACCAACAATGTATTAGCGTTCCAATTTTCCCACATCTTCTCCAACATTTATCATTTTCCTGTTTTGTCATGTTGGCCAATCTGATAGGTGTGATGTGGTACCTCAGAGTTGTTTTGATTTGCATTTCTCTAATCAATAATGATTTAGAGCATTTTTTCATATGACTATAGATGGCTTTAATTTCTTCATCTGAGAACTGTCTGTTCATATCCTTTGACCATTTATCAATTGGGGAATGGCTTGTGTTCTTATAAATTTGTCTTAATTCTCTATATATTTTAGAAATGAGGCCTTTATCAGAGAGACTGGGTTGTAAAAATTCTTTCCCAATTTTCTACCTTCCTTCTAATCTTAGTTGCATTGGCTTTGTTTGTGCAAAAACTTTTCAATTTAATGTAATCAAAATTATCCATTTTGCTTTTCATAATGTTCTCTATCTCCTGTTTGGTCATGAATTCTTCTGTTCTCCATAGATCTGATAGGTAAACTATTCCTTGTTCTCCCAGTTTACTTATGGTATCAGCCTTTATATCTAAGTCATGAACCCATTTTGACTTTATTTTGGTATATGGTGTGAGATTTGGGCCTAGTTTCTGCCATACTCTTTTCCAGTTTTCCCAGCAGTTTTTTTCAAAGAGTGGGTTCTTATCCCAGAAGCTGGGGTCTTTGGGTTTATCAAATAATAGATTACTATAGTCATTGACTACTGTGTCTTGCATATTTAACCTATTCCACTGATCCACCTCCCTATTTCTTAGCCAGTACCAAGCAGTTTTGATGATTGCTGCTTTATAATACAATTTAAGATCTGGAATTGCTAGGCCACCTTCCCCTGCATTTCTTTTCATTAGTTCCTTTGATATTCTGGACCTTTTGTTTTTCCAAATGAATCTTGTTATTATATTTTCTAACTCTATAAAATAATTTCTTGGTAGTTTGATTGGTATGGCACTGAACAAGTAAATTAGCTTAGGTAGGATGGTCATTTTTATTATATTAGCTCGGCCTACCCATGAGCAACTGATGTTTTTCCAATTATTTAGATCTGATTTTATTTGTGTGAAAAGTGTTTTGTGATTGTGTTCATAGAGTTCCTGGGTTTGTTTTGGGAGGTAGACTCCTAAATATTTTATAATGGCCAGAAAATGTTTTAGAAAAACTCACCTCTTTTTGTATGATTTTCTAATCCTGAGCTGCAGACTGACATTTCCCCTGAGCTACTGTCTTGAATTTCCAGTTATTTGTGCCTGTTCTGGCAAGAGCATCCTTCTGGTCCCTAGAATACAGTATGTCTAAAATTGAAATCATTATTTTCCACTTCTTCCCTATGCCCAAACTATTTCTTCCTGTTGACTTCCCTGTTTACTTCAGCAGTGCTAAACTCTTGTTCAGAAACCTGAGGCCATTTTTCATTAGTCCTTCTCCCTTCTATCTGTCTACACTGTGATTCAAAAGTTCCCTTGTTTCTGTCATATACGTTCGTGTATGTGTTGTGTTTACATGTATAATTATGTGTGTGTATCTATATCTATGGCTCTTTCTATGTATATATGTATGTGTGTATATTTGTACATATACATATTACATATATATGCTTGATAGAATATAAGTTCCTTCAAAGCAAGGACTAATGTGTTTGTCTCCACACCACAATGCTTAAAACCAGTGTACATATTAATAAATGTGATTGATTCGCTGAAGTGAGGAAAACCTGGGTTTGAATCCCGTTATATATACTTTCTGTGTGACCATGGGTAAGTCACCTAACCCCTGAAACCCTTGTAAAGTGGCAGTAATAATCTGTGCCAATTTCTTGGAGCCACCATGAAGCTCAAGTAAAATAATATACATAAAGCACTGTGCAAAACAATGAGTGCCATCTATGCCAGCTATTAATATTGTTGTTGTTATTATCATTGTTGTTACTATTATTTGAATTTCCTTCAGGCTCTCTTTACTTTCTATTCCACCCTATAAGCTGCTCCTGGATTTGTCCCTTCACTGTCCTGAACAGGAATATTTAGCAGTTTTTATTGCCTATTGAGAAAAGCTCCAAAGTCTTAGCTAGATCCCAATCTGTCTTTCCAGTCTTACCTGCCATTATACTTCCATATAACCTCTGTATTCTACCTAAGAAATTCTACTGTCATTATAATCTTCCTTCTGTCTAGAAAGCCCTATCTCCAGGTCTACCCTTTGAAAACCTCCCCAGCCTTTAGGACTCAGTACAAATTATTTCCCTTCTAATCAGTCCTATGCTGCAATTATAAATGCTCCCTCTGTCTTTTGGAAATCCTACAATATTCATTTTGTACTATTTATATGAAATTTATCTTACATTGGCTTACATGGTAGTTTAAATAGGGACAATATAATAAAGTGTAAATAACTCTGGACTTGAAGTCAGAAGGATCTGGGTTCTGATACCAACTTTGTTATTCATTGTGTGACCTGAGGCAAATTGCTTAAAGTCTCTGCATTTTCCTCATTTGTAAAATGATGGTGGTTAGGCTAGGTGGTCTCCAAGATCAGAATCTATAGAGATGATTTCTCATCACATCAATTAGATTGTGATTCTACTTGAGGGCAAGGACCTCGTTTCCTGTGTATTTATTTCCCCTATATGAGACAGCATTGTCCACAAAGAATATTCAAATATTTTTTTGAATTAAGGGACACATGAGACAGAAAATTCTCTCATCCATAGGTTAAGTGAGGTTATGAGGAAATGAATGCCCTGGAACATTATAGATCAGGAGGGCATCACAAATGAGAGGAAAGATGGATCCCAAATTTCACTGAGCATATTTGAAAGTTTTATCTAATCCATATCCATGAGGCACATCATCTCCAGTGATCCCAAGAATTATTTTTCTCTTTATTTTTGCTTTTAAATTTATTTTCCTTTCATCACCACGAACATTCCATTAAGGAAATCATTATATTTTGCCTGAGGATTTGTAGACACTTTAGCAAATTTTTAAAAACAACAGCATGTCTTAGTGATTCCAATTATTGCAAAGAGAATTGGCTTTAAAAGGTTCAAAAGAAGACAGAGAATCTTCTGAAACATTTGAGATTTAATCACTTGCTTTCCTTAAAGGAAGCATTCAGTGATCTTTATTGGAAAAACGGGTAATTGACAACCTGCTATCTGGAAATACTTGTCTTTTATATCTTATGCCTGGTTCTCTCCAACACTATTACCACCAAATGTCAATTAAGAGGGAAAGCTCAGGGGGTACATTTCTTTTATTTTTCAAAAACGATTCTATAATTCATGGGTTGCCATGGAATTTTTGTATTCTGTTTTAAAATGATCACACGTTTGAGTACCTGTGACATGAATTATAAGGTGCGCTTGAAATCAAGGTTGAATCAAAGAGATTAATTCTGTATACTAATAGATTTTTTCAAAAGAAAAGGAATGAGCATTCATTAAGTATCCCCCATGTGCCACGCATTGTGCTAAGAGCTTTTGTTAATATTATCTCCTCATCTTCACAAAATCCCTGTGCTATTATTATCTCTATCTTGTATTTGAAGAAACTGAAGTAAACTGGCCCTGAGTCACCCAGCTAGTAAGTGTCTAAGGCTAGATTTGAACCCAAGTATTCTAGGGCTCTATCCACTGAGACACCTAGCTGATT